CTAGTTTTCAAGGTAAATGGTGTTTTAAAAATATGATCTAAATTTAAACTTCATTTTGAAAATCAATTTTATTGTTGAACAAAATATTTTATGCATGTGATAGCTAAAATAGTTTTTAGTGCACAAAATGATTTTTGAACTTTTATCACTCATTGCTAAAGATCACAGTATTAGTACATTATATTTGAACTAAGAAATCTTTTGTTTCGAAATTTGGCTCTTGGGCTCTCTTCTTGATCTTTCTTTGACATTTGACTTTTAAGTTCTTGATTTTGATCTTTCTTTGACGTTTGAATTTTAAGATTTTTCTTGAAGGATCTTTCTTAAATTTGTGACTTCGGTCTTGACATTCTTCATGAGGATTGATTTCCTTTATTTTATTGTTACTCTACTTATTATAATTTTTCTTTCTATTATTTTATTTATATAATTCTAACAGTATTTCTAATTTTCTTTTGTATTTTTTCCTAACATTTTAAAACAAATTCTTTTTAAAAGACGAAGACTGTGCTGGATTTCGAAGGAATATTATTGTGAAAAATAATATTCTCTCATGAAATTTTTAAAATTTTGGAAACTAAAAGTTACGATACAGAGAAGTTATGTCTAGTGGGCTAGGTTTTACGTGGGACCATTTGTGACCCCTTCAACCAATTTGGGAACTGAATATTTTCAGAGGAGGCTAGACTTAGACCTTTCTAATCTTTTTTGAAATTATCTGTAGAGTGATATTCGGTTGTTGAAAAAATAGCTTAATTTTTATCGTGTTTAAAAGTAAGAATATTTTTCATTTGGAAAATTTGATTATTTTCGTTATTGAGAAAATAACATAATTTTTCAAGGGATTTTGGAAAAATTACGTATTTTCAATTGAAAAATTAGCATATTTTCTTAATTGTAAAAATAACATAATTTCTCAATTGTAAAATTAACATATTTGATATTTCAAAAAAATGGTAAGTGAAATCATTGTTGCTGATACAACCACTACTGTGAGCCTTCTCCTATTGTAAACTTCCCAACAGTACCGACATGTATTACTTATGGAGAGAAATTGAATGAATTCAACGTGCTGAATTTCAAGAAGTGACAACGAAAGATGTTGTTTTATCTTACCACCCTCAACATTGCGAAGTTCTAGATAGAGGATCATCCGAAACTGAAATACGATGAGACTAACAGCCAAGTCGTCAATGCTTGGAAACATTCTGAATACATGTGTCGAAATGATGTCATGAATGGGCTAATTGATTCTTTGTACAATGTCTGTAGTGCTAAGAAGTTAGCAAATAAGCTATGTGAGTCTTTTGATCGGAAGTACAAAACTGAGGATGGTAGCGCCAAGAAATTTGTGGTAGGTCGCTTCCTAAATTTCAATATGGTCGACTCCAAAATACTGATCAATCAAGTTCAAGAGCTCCAAGTGATCTTACATGAAATCCATGCCGAGGAGATGTCACTGAGTGAATCTTTTTAACTAACTGCTATTATTAAGAAGCTGCCACTAGGACAAAAAGACTTCAAGAACTACCTTAAGCACAAGCAAAATGAGATGAATATTAAAGATTTTGCATTGAGGAAGACAAAAGAGGATTTGATAAGTGAGGGATATACCAGCATGAGGCTAAGGCCAACAATGTGAAGGCCGGTCATAGCTCCATGGCAAAGAAAAATCCAAATAACAAAGGTTTCAAGTTGGGACTTTAAGGGGATAAATGTGGGGAAGAACCGAAATGGAGATGTACTATATTATACAAGATATCCAGTTGTCCTAAAAGGATACAGTGATTTAAACTGAATATCTGACTTAAAAGACTCAAGGTCTACTAGTAGATAAGTGTTCACACTAGCAGGTGCAACCGTACCTTGAAAATCTTTGAAATAGACTATAATAGCCAAATTCACAATGGAATCTGAATTTATTGTACTAGATAAATGTGTGTAAGAAGCGGAATGGCTACGCTGTTTCTTAGAAGATATCCCAAGGTAGTCGAAGACCTATAATATGCATACATTATGATAGTTAATATGCAATTTGGTAGGACACAGAGCAACATGTATAATGCTAAGTCAAGAAATATTCGTCGAAAACACAATAACATTAGATAACTGATCTCTATAAGAATTATTTTCATTAACTATGTAAGATCAAAGAGTAATACTGTGAATCTGTAGACCAAATGGTTAGATAGAGATTTAGTTGAGAAATCATCGAGGGGAATGGGACTAAAGCCCATGAAAGAGTAAATTGATACCATGGAAACCCAACATAATTGATTGGAGATTTCAAGATTTAGGTTCAAATGGACAACCTAATTGTAAAGATCGTGGTAGATCAATGTGGGCATTCATCTCAGTCCATTCCTATGATGAAATAAGAAAAAGTGATAAGCTAAGCTTTTAATGATTCTTATATGTCGAAATATTCGGGCGGAGTAATACTAGTTACTCTTAATTGAGAAATCACATATGTGAGAGAGAAGTGTGACCACTTCAAAGGAGAATTATAAGGGTTTAATTCCTTAGAAACTCTCATAGAACCAGGGAGATGTTTATGGTCAAAATGAGCATAACTTTAAGAACTGAGTTGTGTTAGGAAAAAAACGTGTGAGGAGTGTATAATCGTTTACATAAATAATAGAATAGTTCAATGAAATCATGTCTACTAATTAGCTAGTAAACATACTTACACGAGGGAATGTTCAAATGGTAACACCTACCTAGTCTATGCAGATTTCGACTATTGAATTCTATCATCAGTCTATCCGTCATTGTTGTTAATTTCATTCGTGTGAGAAATTGTTGGTCAAAAAATTTAAAAAAAAATGAAGTAAATGACAATTGTAACAACAAAGTTAATATGTTTCAATTCTCGAATTAATTTTTCCAATTGAATTGGTTGTTGTTACAAAGCTCTAATGACTATTGTAATGGTTTTATGTTAACGCAAATTAATGAAAAATTGAAACTCTTCTTATCCTAATACTATATAAGGAGGTGTTCTCCTTCTTGTTCTACACATCAAAAATTTGAGAGTTCTCTCATCTCTCTAATTTTCTCTATTCCCTCTTTGTTTCAAGAGTCTTGTTCTCAGTAGTTTAGATGATTTTTTGTTCTAGCTCGGTGATAAAAGTGTGAGCATTCCCAGTTTGCCTAAAGTAGTGACGAAATGCTAGTCAACTGCTTTTAACCGTTTTATCCTGTGAAACGGATGGCATCAATCCTTTTGCACCACAATGTGGAGCAAATCTGTTTTAAAGAAATTGTGTGCAAAACAGGTCTCCGTTCTTTCCAATACTTATACTACATCAACAACCATATTTCCTCTATTTTATTATTACTCTATTTATTGTATTTTTTTCATTATTTTATTTATTTAATTCTAAAGGTATTTCTTATTTTCTTTTGTATTTTTCCTAATAAATTTAAGCCCCCGTTATTTGCAATTATAATTTTTAGAATAATTTTTTTTTGAAGAACGTGTGATTGAAAAAGAAGGAAAATTTTTCGATTTACGTGTAATATTATTTTATGGAAGATTGTGTGGTTGAAAATAAGAAAGAATAATAAAATTTTGAGATAATAGGAGCCAAATTAAGCCCCTGTTTGATGTGGACTAAAATTAGATTTTTAGTAGATTTTAATATAAATTGATGAAATGTGTAATTGAAGTAAATTGTTGATTTTGACTTAGATTAAAATTTAGATTTTTAATCGATACCAAACAAGAGCTAAATATACGGACATGCACTTTACCTCCCATGTCCAGACAAATAATAGATTTTTGTAAACTTTAACCTTTCATGATCGAATAACATAAAGAATGAAAATTTTGAACTTAATACAATGTAAGCTGCATTCTATAGTTGAAAACTCCCCATTTATTCACTCTTAGCCCCTGTTTGATAAAATACTTTTTCAGATTTAAAATCAATCAAACTTTATTTTTAATTACACTTATTGAACTCACAATCTTATTCACTTTTCATCCACTAGCTTATATCTCAAAAGCTTTGTCAAACAGGGGCTTCATAGCCAAATTACTTCTCCAACAAATTCATTAAACCCATGTTTGACCCTTATTTTTTAAAAATCATTTTCGACCACAAATTTCATAAGACTCACGGCTATTTTAAACTTGTCAATTATATGTATTTCATCAACTTTTATCAAATTTTACTAAAAATCTGATTTATATCAAAACCAAACATGGGCTTAGTTGTAAAGTTTTTAGGGGTCTATTTGGCATAACTTTTGAAAAGTCAAAAGGAAATTTTAGATCTAAAAATTGCTTTTGAGACCCAAAAATTATTTTTGAACCTGTTAGCTAACTTTATGAAAGTATTTCTTCTAAATTAGAAGAGTTTATAGAGAAAATTGGTCCAATATAACTTATTTTAAAAATATTTTTGGAATTTGAAGTTCTTTTAAAAATTAATTTTCCAACCAAAAATTAAAGCAATTTCCTCCAAAATCTCTTTTACATTAACCAAAAACCATGCAAAAGGACCCTTAAAGTTAATAACTCTTAATTACTTATTAACATTAAGATAAAAATTATTTACATAATAAAACACATTTTTCTCAGAAATAACATGGCCAAACATGCATTTTATTTATTTTCAAAAAACTATTATAAAGCAGCTTTCCCATATTTAAGCTTAGCCCATACATTCTCTGGGACCTTATTGAAGATGAGTCATTTTGATTCGAGGACACTCTAAGCACCACAATTTCATTTCAAATATTAAGACGGAGGTTGTTTGACAAATTCTTTAAAAAAATAAATTCAACAAATTTTGATAACAATCGATAAAATGTGTGATTTATAAATTGTGGATTCTATGAAATATATTGTTCAAATTGAAGTTTTGACCATATAAAATTTTAGAAAAGTTCAATCAAACAAGCAGGAACTCTGTGCAACAAAGGGAATAAGAAATTGGTCAAATTTGAAAACATTGTGTAACATTGCACCAAAATAAATGTGTAGGGACAAATTAGATATCTGAGCAAAGTTCAGGGCCAGACGTGTAACGTTGGCAACCAATGATTTGATCACCATTTTGTGTATGAGATGAAATACTGACATCCTCAACAACAACATTGGCTGTGGAACCTATCCTGTATGAAACATCCAAACCTTCCAAAATCAGGTGATAAATCACAGCACTGGATCCATTTTCCAAAGCTTCATCTTCTTGGTAATGTTCCATCGTCGAAGCATCGTCCACTGTGCTGCCAGTTTCGGTTTTGACCAGGAAATTATGAGGTCGGCTTCGTTGAGATACGGACCGAATATCCCAAGAGAGCACCTGTTTTATCAAGCTCTCAAATTCATTGGGAGATGCATAAAGTGACTTTTTTTCCTGAGACAAAAAGAAAAGGTAAAACGATGTCATCAACAAGAAAATAATAAAAATTGGCACCTAGACCAAGATATTGAGAATAAACCACAACAATCCGAATATAAAATATAACAAATAGAGAAAACAGAATGCCAAAGAAATTGTCAAAGAAGTGAAAGAAAAACCGTCTTTAGTTTTAAAATTGTCTTACCACCATCGACCAACAATCAAGTAGACTGGAGGAGAAACCTTCAGAAAACTTAACTGAAGCTACGGTTAGCAAATGGTCCTCCTGTTCAAAGATTTGGTATTAATTTCCCAATGGGAAAGGGATAAATGCATAGAATTAGCAAGAAAAGCAAAAGTAATTGTACAAAGTAGCGCGCAGTAGGTCTTCCTCAAGATTAATGCCCTAAGTACGTTTCATGTTCATGATACCTTGCACCTTGAAAGTGGATTATTCACTCAAACCGGATAGTATTACCAGAAGAATAGCCAATGTTTTCCATTGATATGTAACATCTGAAACTCAAACTACTTTCAGGTATCAAAAGAAAATACTATTTATTCATGCTTCTGAATTACAATTGGCTATTGACACTTTGCTTGCAAAGCCTGGTTTGGATTGGATTGATGTAACTGATTCCTAATTATATGTTTGGCTAGTAGAATAAGAATTAATTATACTACTATTGAAGTTCAAGAATAAGTGACCATATATTTATAATTTTTCAAGATCATCAAACAATCTGAAACAAAATCTGGCCTAAATTACTTTTTGATGAGACTCTCAAAACAAAATGATACTGAGAATGTATGAAAGGAATTTACTCCACCCAATTAGTAAATAACGAAGAAGAAAATACCTTCACCCAATCAGGAACTGTTGCTCCTAGGATGCTATCACAATACGGCAGATAAGGTTTGACATCCAGGACAGGCTGTAAATAAAGTTCAAGTACTAGTCAGTGTTACATAAAAAGTGCTACATTTAAAGGTGCATTACATTCAGCTGAAGAAGACAGATTGTAAATGAGAAAGAAATACTTTGTCAGATCTCCTAACACAGCAATAGAAAACTTACTGTACCATCGACTAGATCAACACCAGAAAGTAATACCATATGTCCACGTACAGCTTCCACCTAGTACACAAAAGTACATCAATTCTTATTCCTTGATAAGTAGAAAGAAAATACACAGATAATTAAAGATTGTGCTTTATAAGCTTAAATAGTTTATATACAAATAAGATATAAAATTATTATGGCCAATATAAAAAATTGAATTCTTGGCCTTGTTGGGGTGAGTCTTAGAAGTAGACCGCAAAGCAAACTCTGTCCGAGGTTGCTATCAATAAGGTTATCGCAGTCAAGGAAAAGTTTAATGGTAAAGGTTAAAAATAACTTAAATAAGTAAGTTTTTCATTTTGATGGTAAAGTAAGAGTTACTTCTAGAATAAGCAACCTTTTTACTTAAAAGTAAGAAAAAAGTAAGCCTTTGGAAGTCTTCAAACTCATTTTCAACCACACGTTCTCCCACTAAAATAATTTTGCACGTGAATCCACAACTTCTACTTTTTAACGACACGTTCTCAAAAAAAAAAAATCACTTTTCATAAAATCACTTCTCAAAAAATCAACATCACACAAGGGCTATCTCTAAATTGAATCTTCAGTATGATGATTGTACAAAATATAATTTTTCTATTGTAAAATGTAAACTTCTTACTACCTTCGCCACAGTCAACCCTATTGGACATGGACGATGCGGAGATCTCGTAGCAAAGACTCCCATTTTTTCACCTTTGAGTCTTGGTACCCTTACCTGTTCATCCATGAGACCTTTTGAAGAAGTCCCCAAAATTTAAGAAAATATATATATGGAAACAAAAGCCAAACCTTTGCCTTGAATTTTGATTGCGATGAAGGCTTCCATAACTTTTCAAGATCTGTGTTTAGATGAAACACATATATAATCCAGCAGTGAGAATATCCTTCAAGACCCTCGAGCGATGCTGGAGGAACCCGAGATGAATCAAAAATCAAGGATGCCCTTGCAAGAGGTACAAGTAATGGTTGTCTTGGTGTCCCATTCCTACACAACATGAAACATCATTTACAAAGGATCAGAATCAAACATCAAGGTAGAATCATTAACGATACAAGCAATCAACCATTGCAATACCTAAAAAAGCAAAAGCACATTTTAATGGTTCAAGCAATCAACCATTGTAAGACCTAAAAGGAAAAAGTACACTAAAGATAAAACTGAAGTGAGCATTTTAAAAAAAATAAATGACCACGTTATGTTTACTTTTCTAGATATAATTTCAAATAAGAACTTTTATTCAACCTTAGTGTCAAAAATTTAGTAAAATGATAAATAAGAGCACAAAAAAATAAAAAAGGAGTTCAGATCAGGCATGTATGTAAAGATCAACTGCAATTCTTCATTTTTGGAAATAGTTCCACAGGCTAATAGAATGGAAATATCTAACTATGAAAGAAAGGTCCATTGAATTATTGTCAAACAACTCCACGGCTACCAAAGTATTGAACAGATTAGTGACAACAATCAGCAAGCGTTTCAATAGGAACATTGAACTTTAGGTTCAAGTTCAAGTTGATGGGACCTTGTTTCAGTGAAAAAGATAACCTGAGCTCCTTTATCCATTCTAGCGATGCAAATTGATATTGTGTACTCTAAACCACAAGCCTAATGATCAGCTGAGAGAAACTTGAACACAGACTGAATATTTTCATTGACAGTAAAAAGTATTCCTCTTTGTAAGAATATTAAAAGCAAATTCTCTCCAGCAATTTTCTTCCATAATTTTGAAAGTTGTGTGTACTTGAATCCCACTACATACCACATCTTACTTATAAAATTTTTGAATGTGAATTTGCCTAATCCCAATGAGTGACTTTGTCACTCTACGATAGATATGATATTTGGATGATTCATCTTTAAATGCAAAAGAAAAACTTAATGAACATTCTTTTACCATATTACCTTGTAGAGAAGCACGACTGGACAGTGGCAATAGGTGCTATGGGATATGAATTCAATTTGAGATTGTCAGAATTAGGTCCGCTCAGTGCTTTCCTCAATGCCTGCGATATGTCATCATGAAGTGCAAATAATTTGATAACAATGCAGGGAATGCTACAAGAAAGCAATATAGTTCAAACATAACAAGCATAATTCGCACTGTACTGCCTGATAATCACTTTCGTGACATAGAATCTTGAATACATACAGATATAAATAGAAATATATAGACATTTACATAGACTTTGAAGAGATTCTCTATAAGCCAAATTGCCATAGCCTCCAGTTCACTATTTTGGAGGAAAAAGCTCTAGAATAATCAGTGAAGAAAAATGTTTTGTTCCTAATTGGTTTCTCTATTCCATTACCTGACAGCCACTGCCACATATTGCAGGGAGAAAGAAAAAAATAAAAAATAAAAAAAATCAAAGAAGGGTTTTTTGAGAATGTGTGACATACTTAATTCAAAATAAGCAAACTTTCCAAATAAATAAATAAATATCACTATAATCGGTTTCTTCAGATAAATTATCTATCGGATCACCTCAAAATGTTAATTATTAAAGAGAACAAACTACCTGTTGAGCTCTAATCCGGCCTTGTCTCTCAGCAGCACATTTTTCTAAGGCAGACTTTATAGAGGCTTCAAGTTCATGAATTTTCTTATTCACATCCCCACTTGAATTTGACTTTGTTCTTCTCCAAAGGCAAACTATATATGGAAATCAATACATACAGTATCTCTCAGTTCTGCCGGTGTCTTGCTAAAATTGCGAGAAAAATTGAACAGAAACATAAAGGCGTGAACTTACAGGAAATGGCAGTAGAAGCCAGGGCCAGTGAGATGGAGATAGTTAGCCACTGGGATTTGTTGGTGGCCATCGTCCGGCGAATTGGGATTATCAGATTTTGCAAATTTCTGGGTTTAATGGGGTCAGTAGTAATCTTTCGGAGATATTAGGGGACTAATTTGCAATTTTTTTTTTTTTTTTGGGATATTCAGGTATCCCAACTTACACCAAATTATATCCTGGACCACTCATCTCCGGCCCCTCAGTGATGGATGGAGGTTAACCGTGGGATATGCTCAAGTTGACCAGGGTCCGTGCACCCTTTATACTCCTAGCCTTAAGGGAATCTTTCTCCATGGATATTATATCACCAATCTGCTCCACCCAAATTGAGTATTACAACACTCAACTGCTCCATTCAGAAATCGAACTCCCCACCCTGAGGTTGCAAGCTCAGTAATGTCTATCATTTGCCAATTTGGATGTGCCCCGAGGGACAACTAACTAATTTGCATTTTTGAACAGAGAGAAGGGGGTTAACGTAGATTTTAAAAATGAATGTAGGAAGTTACAAGTTTGCGAATTTAAAAAGAAATGATATTAAGCCATGTTTGAAGACTTTAATTGAAGATTTTTCAAATTTTATTCATATTTTAATGATTTGGTTGATGACTTTCTTTTATTTTCTATGTAATTCTTACATTAATATGTTAGGCTAAATTTATTCATGTTTAATAGAAGACAAAACTCTTTGATATGTAATTTTTAATTAGAGACTTGATATTTTTAGTTTAATTCTTACGTTGTGGTTCCATAAATATGCAAAATTACATTATTTGAATACTTGCTCACTATAATGACAATAAATTACTTATTCGTAGTGTTGAAAAACTCACGATAGGTAAAATATTGTTTATGGAATACACGGACAATAAATATTAGAAATAATATTTATGACGTGTAAGGCTGTATCCTAAAATTCAATGCATGTTTGTTATATGAATGCGGGAATGCGGATTAGGAATATGATCGTCTCGTGATAAACATATGTTTATTATATCTTAAAAAGAATAGTAAATAAAAGTGGAGTTATCGATCGTTACAATTGCATAAATTAAATTAATTATTACTGGTTGAGAATTGGAATTAAGAATTGATTAGTGAAGTCGGAAATCAAATACGTTCATCGCATTTGATTTAAAACCAATTTTTATTACTTTCATATTTATTAAACATAATTAGATACAAACCAATCATATTTTATTACATCATGAATTAAATTATATCAAATACACTAGAATTGAGTTTTAATCTCTGGAGGATTATCATTCTCTCATCACAATTATTACTTGTACAACGAACCTGTACATTTGTGGGATTTAAACGAATAAGTTTTTGGCACCGTTGTCTGGGAATAACGGTATTAATTTTAGTTATTGATATTCTAGGTTTGTTCTCATTTTTAATTCTGTTGTTTTAGGCTATTATTACAATGTTTAATTTTCTTGTGTTTTGACTCTTTTCAGGCGAATTTGGTTTATATAAGCATCTGACGAGATTGATCTAACTCCAATAGATTACAAAATCAAAAGGAAAGTTAAAAATCGTAGAAGAGAACAACATCAAGTAATGAAAATGTCCGATAATCAGAATCAACCACAAAATCAGGTTCAACTTTAGGTTTAGGTTCAAGATCAACTATCGCAGCTAGATCAACAGAGAGCTATCCAGATTGAAGCTCTTATTTTAGTTGGGGATTATGTAAATCTAATTCCTACACCAGTGCAACCTATCATAGTATATCCTCCATTCGGACAACCTAACTTCCACCTTAGACTGGATGTCATAAATCTTTTTCAAAATCATCAAAACATCATGTTTTTTGGGAAGCTACGGAAAATCCTCATGAACATATTTCGACTTTTCTCATGTTATGTGATGTTATCAGTCATGAAGGGATATTAGCATATGCATTCTGAATGCGATTATTCCCTTGTAACTTAAAAGATGTTGCAAGAGAATGATTCCTTTATTTACCTCCAAGGAGTATACAGTCATCGAATAATATGGTTTAAAAGTTTACCATGATGCTCTTCCCAGCTTCTCGAGTTCACCAAATCAAGAATGAAATCCACGCCTTCAAGTAGAAAGATTTCGAGAGCTATCCTGAAGCATGGAAAATGTTTAAGAATTTGTTTAGAAAATGATGTAGCTTTGACATTCCTAAGTAGGCTCAGCATTATCTCTTCTACTACGGACTATACCAAGAGTTCAGAAATATGATAGACACTTCGGCAGGAGGATCATTGATGAAACTTGATGTCGATGAGGCCAATGAATTGTATGAAATGATAGTAAAAAATCAGTCGATGTGGCTAATCGACATGGAAGCTGCAAGGAAAATAGCAGGGGTGCACAACGTGGATGCAGTGACAGCAATTGCTACACAAATGGAAGTTTTTACAATGAAAATGGATAATCTATCTCAATCAGTTAACATGGTGTGCCAATCGACACTAATTTGCGCAGGTTGTGGAGCAGATCACACTATTACATGCTGTCCTTTGGCATCTATACATGTTACTCATCCTGAAGAGATTAGCTACATACAGAACTTTTCGAATCAGCAAAACAATCCCTACCCCAACACTTACAATCTGGGATGGAGGATCCATCCAAATTTTTCATAGTCTAACAATCAGGGGCAAGGACAGGACAAGGAGGAAATAATCAACACAGACTACCAGGGTTCCAACAGCAACAACAAAGCATGAGAGAAAGCCGTTGTTGACCACAGAAAATGAGCCAACAGATGTCGTGCCCACTCACGCCAAGTCAAGTACGATTCTGACGCGTTCCTATTGGAATAACGACAGTAGCAAGGAAGAAATGAATGCGGGGGATACTTTGCGACGAGAGACAAAATTGTTTAGGCTCCGGCAGGTAAAACAAAAGCAATCCAGCTAACAATGATCACCGAGCGGAAACCAAACTAATCTATAAGGTTACAAATGTGAATATATGGAAGGATAGATAAAACATGTGTAGAAGTTGTTATCTTGTATGTTGAAAGTTGTATTCCTTCAACTTGTAAAGAAAATAAAAAATGTTCAGCCTAGTGTTTGTATAAATTTCTTGAGACTTTAAGTGTATATTTCGAATGTATAATTGTCCAAATTCTAGTCAACATGCTCCTTTTAGTTACAAAGAGGACCTATTTGTACTGCATTGGCCGACGTGATAACCGTAGGATCAGAATCACGTGGCCTTATCTCCCTAACTTAGGCTTCACATCACTGTCTATTCATATAATTAATACATTGATAAGGGGTAAGTCGTTCTATACAATAGGCTGACACACGACAAACTTTATTACAAGTGTTACATCAATTACTTCTACGAAATCTTCGAATCTATTACAAGAGACAACTTCGGCTTCATCGGCTTTGGATGAGTTTGAGAACCTCGGAGAGATCTTTAAGGTGGTTTTCTAAGTGGAGAACTTTAGCGCTTTTCTTTATTTCCTTAGGCAGTGTTTTAGCCTAAGTTGGAGTGCTTCATTCTTGAGGTAGTGCTTCAGTATGGACCTCGATTTTGTAATGCAATGACTTCGGTTTGCTTGAATTCTTTATATTTTGACTTTTTTGTTGACTTTCTGCTCACGTGGCTTGCCACATACATTTTTACTTTGAGCCTCAGAGGCGAGGCGTAACAGCCGTCATTGGAAGATTTACTATCTCAATACATTACAAAGACTAAGACCAATTTTTAGAATCAACATGCCTCGATCAAGAACTTGGAATAGTTTGTGGGACAGATAGCAGTCGCATTATGAGGCAAAACTCAAGCGACTTTACCTAGTAGTACTGAGACAAATCCTAAGGAGCGACTCAAAGGAATCCCTACACATAGTGAAGTTCGGTTACCAAAAATACATGTAATGAAGCCAATAACTGCCATAGAAAAGGTACATACTTCGGGTGAAGAGCAAGTGGATGAATCCGACAAAACCACAAAGGAAAATCAAGTCGAGTCATCAGATAGTCCATAAGTGAAGGTAATAGCTCTTGTCAAATCATATGTATCTTCGATCCCCATTTCCATAGAGATTGCAAAAACATAAGCTCAATAAGCAATTCCAAAATTTTTTGGATGTATTCAAAAAGCTGCACATTAACATATCGTTCGCTGAAACTTTAACTCAGATGCTAGTTGCGCCAAGTTCATAAAAAATATTCTATCAAACAAGAGAAAATTGGAGGATAATAAGATGGGCATGCTTACCAATGAACGTAGTGCAATGCTCCAATATAAGTTATTGTCGAAGTTAAAAGATCTATGGAGTTTTACTAGTCCTTGTAACATTGGTAACTTTTATATAGATAAAACATTAGTTGATTTATGAGCTAACATTAATTTAATGCATTTGTCTCTTTTCAGGAAATTAGGTTTGAGGAAAGTAAAAACTACTATAGTTTCATTGATGTTGGTTAACAGGTCAATCAAGCACCTCCGAGGCATTTGTGAAGGCTTCTTGGTGAAAGTTGATGAATTTATCTTTCCAGCAGACTTCATTATCCTGGATATAAAGGATAGGGACGCCCATCTCATTTTGGGTCATCTATTTTTTGCTATGGGAAGAGCTCTAATTGATGTGCAAAATGTCAATTAATATTGAGTTTAGGTGATCGGGAATTGACAATCAACGTATTTAGAGCTTTCAGATTTCAGAATGAACCAGATTCTTGCATGCTAATTGATATAATCAAGGAAGTGATAACATATACATTCAGACTCGATCACCCTCAAGACCCTCTTGAGACTTATTTGATGCATTCTTAGGATTTTCCCTCAAAAAAGGCGAAAACAGAAGAATGTACACGTTATTTGACAGCTATACCACCGCTCTTCAAGCAAACACGTTTGGAGCTCGGTTTTCCGGGGTGTTTTGGAAATGGTAGATATGTCAAAACTCCCAACTCTTGAACTTAAATGGCTACCAACTCACCTTTGATATGCATATTTGGGGGAGAAGAATTCACTTTCGGTGATTATTTTACGAATACTCTTATAGAGTCAGAGGAAGATCAG